TTTTGGCGACGGTCCGCGTAATTTTGAACCATGGTCAAGTGACGAGGACGACATTTGAGCTGGCATCACTTCTCCTAACTACCACACCACACCAATGGGAGGACATTTGAGCTCTCGACAGATGTAACTTGCATCGCTCCCTTACACGGCGGGTCTTCAGTGGTACTGGGATCGAACTCATAAAACGCTAGCCATGAGCCGAAGCCTAGACCACTTGGCTACCGCGGCCACTTATGACACCTGAGCTTGCCCCACACGCCAATTATACATAACATTATTTAGACTGGAAAATTGTATTACTGTACTTAATTGTTCAGCATCTCTGTTTTTTTTCTTGCAGTTTTATGTATGTGTATATAATTTTAACATTTAGAGCTTGATTATATCTCTTATCCTCTGATTACAACTAACTTTAGTTTGAACCTTAATAGTATTAAAGTTCTAATTAGAACTTTAGATAGAGTATTTTTTTTCAAAATTAAACATTGAATGAATAAATCAACCCATTTCAAATCCGTAATGCTATTACTAAACTTTAACAGAACATATATACGTACGCCATAAATTCAAATTACTGATCATTGGGAAATATAGTTACTTTTATGCGTTAGTTCTAAAACAATAATGCTGGATTTTTTTCAATGAATACACCTACAGAAATTAAGTGTAGAAATTTTTGTATCTTTTAAAAAAAAAGGAACCATTTATTAATAAATAGAAGAGAAGGAACACAGGAAAAGATAATTAGTTCAATACAATTTTTCTCCTTTGGAAAGACAAAGAATATTCTAATTAATATTTCCGCAAATCAAGAGCTGTGTAAATTAGTTAATATTGAAATAGAAAATATGGAAAAGTAATGCATTTTCAATAAATAACGACATTTATTATTACAGGGATGGACTGATTGCTTATTACACTACGACTATTGCTGACGGACCTCGTACTTTTGAGCCACAGTCAAGTGACGAGGAAGAGCCCCCACTTTTCTAACTGCCACACCATGACAATGGGAGAGCTTTGAATTTGAACAAATTTAATTGTATTAACTCCTCTACACAAGGGTTTTTTTCTAGCACCAGGACTTGAATCCACGATAAACAAAAACAATGCTGATTACAAGTCCACGATCAGGACCACTTGGCAACCATATTGCCCATTAATTCAGAGAAACAAATAATATCAATGAAATATCAATTGAAGGATCATTTTGCGTCATCCTCTATCAGTATAGTTCGAGAAAAGAGAGACAGAAGAATCCCCACATTCTCTCAGTTTGCGAATTATAATGAGGAAGAATAATAGTATGTTATAATACTTGATTAAATAAGGGAATGAAAAAGTTATTTTTAGAAATAGCGCAGATGTTCCCAGGGAAAAATTTGGCACCAGTTAGTCATTGAGTAATGCACTTGTAAGCTATTAAAGATGTTCTTTTTCTGGGAATAGGGTGACCGTAGTAGCCTAGTGGTCAAGGTAACGGTCTCGTGGCCAGTGTGTCACCAGTTCAAGCTTAGTACCTCTGAAGACTCACTGTGAAAAGGGGAACGATGCACGTAAAATATGTCGAGGCTCTCAAACGTCCTCTCATTTGTGTGGTGTGGAAGTTAGGAGAGGAGGGGTAAAAGCTCAGGTGTCGTCCTCGTCATTAGACTATGGTTCAACATTACGAAGCCCATCGCCGAAAACCCTCGAGTAGTTGAACAGTGCGACGTTAATATTCACTCATTCATTTTGGAAATAGGAAATTAATCTTTCATAACATAGACTTTAATCCATTAACGCAAGATAAAAATGAGACTCACTTAAAAAAAATTGTATTTATAATTAAGATTTAAAGAAAATATGAATAAAAAACTTTTAATCAAAAATATTAAGTGAGATTGTTAGACACACACATATACAAACACATAAATTTAAACTGCACTCTTACAAAGTTTTGTGATTACAATTTGGAGATGTATTGCTCATACACACACACATAAAGTACAGAAATAGCATTCTGTATAATTCATAATTCAATAACTTTATCTTCATAATATAGTCGAACGCACATTAAAAGAAACTGCAATGTGTGAGCGTCCCCCCTTTCCCGTCTCCTCAAATGGTACGTCAGAAGAAGGGAGGCGTTAAGCTTCCTGCGAAATGGAAAAGTCTTCCTGATTGAAAAGAGAGATCTCTGATTATGGAAGAAGGATTTCTTCTGGTCCGCCCAAATTGTTTTCCCTCCAGGAATGATCCTTTTTTAATAAAATTTTCTCTTTCTTTCTTTCTCTCCACCCCCATCTCTGTACTCCCTGCCCCGCTCGACCAATTACAGGACAGCTCTCTCCGTGCGAGATGCGGCCATCTCTATAATACCGATAAGTGAATTAGCTCGTGAGATTGGTGCTTGGGCATTTTGGGATTCGACTCTTCTCCGAATGACGATTCATTCTCCGGGAGTAGATAGTAATCTCTTTCCGCGATGCCGGGAAAAATTTTTCAATCTGTTTGCATCCGGTAAGGGGGAATTACGAGGTATTTGGTGAACTGTTATTCCGTGTCGTAAATTAATGCCCACGAACAATGAGCACACTGAAAAGGAGGAGAGGAGAATTGAATCACAATACTCGACTGTGATCCTTATTTGTGTCCATATCTCAATAATAATGTTTTGGAAGAATCAGATGATTTCTGCTTAATAAATAATACAATAGTGTATTAAATAGTAAGAAATAAATTATTATTAGCAATTAGACAATATGTCAACTCGATTTGGTCCTGTGGGATTTTAAATTTCATATTGCAGATAGGTTGTTTAATTATTTTCTAAGCCAATAACATAAAACATTATACTAATTAAATTTGAAGGAGAAATAAGTATTTTAGGCAAACAATTTCCAATTCAAATTAATCTATAGCAGGGGTGGGCAAACTTTTCTAGGGTAAGGGCTACTTCTAATTTTTTTAAGGTGCTGCGGTCTACCCAGGGGCGTAAGTGTGGTGAGCTAAGAAAAAAGGTCTACAATATTTATTATAATAATAAATACGGAATATGCATATACCTACATAAAAAAAACTTTTAAGACGGTGTTTAAAGCAAAACGCAAGATACAAACGTAATAATAACCACAAATATAATAATATCAAATGTTGCATTTTTGTGTGTGTTACGAAACAATTCAAAATATATTAAAAAAGAACATTTTCATTTAAAGTAAGTTCTCGTAGTTATAGTGACAAGAAGACTTATTCTGCATACTGTCAACCAATCTTGAATATTACGGTATAATTACTCACTGCTGATCTTCAGGCGGTCACCCCCAAATACCTTGGCGGTCGATTGCGATTGACTTAATGCCCTTCCCGAATCTACAGAGTCGAGAGAAGTAAGCTTTTCATGTATAAAGAATTTAGAAATTAGAGAATAATACCGTTGCTATATACAAAAAGTCAGAACATGTTCATAAAATCTATTCAGACCAACAAAATGTTTTAAAAGAACCGGAATTAATAATTTGAAATGTGCGGAGACTAATTTTTAAGCAAAGCAACATTTTTACTGTTATAAGAAATGCATCAAAAACGAAACACAGAAAAAGGATATTGACATATTATTAGATATAATTTCTTATAAATTCTGATACGGATGAAGTTTATCGTTGTGTTAAAAAGAATTGTTGTCTAATTGTTCGTCAACTTTGCATTTTGAAGTTACACTAGGACATGATCGAAAAACTGTGGCTTTTTACATAGACAGTTGTGGTTTTTGAAGTTTGTGCCACTGTGCATTATTAAAAAAATAATTATGTTTACTAAAAATTATATGTCCCTTTCTCTTTTTTTAATTATTTATTGAAAAAATATTTCCTATACCTTCATATCTTTTAAAACATTTGATTTGCTTAAGTTTGTTACTCCTTCATTAAATTATTTTTTTTAACATAAAACTTATTGAGAAACAGTGAAATTACTACAATTAGTTCTAAAGCAGTAAATTAATGAAAATGTTGATACAGGAAAATACTTCTTAAAGGGGTTTTTAGCAACGTTTACTTACTTGACTCCATTAGAAGGAGCATTCATAAAAGGACAATAAATACACTAAGTCTTCTTACAGGTGTGACAAAATGTATTCCGTATTTCATTGCATTCTTAAGGGTTGCTAAAAAGAGTGGGAAATGAGGAAAAATTGTGGAAAGAGTTTTGTATGAAAGAATAACCAAAAAGTAAATTTTGATTATGAAAGTAAATATGAAATTAAAGGCTAAAACTCTGGTGTGGCATTTTTTTCGCAAAAGTTATGTGGAAACTCAATTTTTCAATATAATGATATTTTGATATCGTTGCTCTTTCATTTAGCTACAGAAATAAAGGTACCTTTGTTAGTTCTTAGTTTTTAAGAAATAAAAAATGTATTACTGTGCCTAAAGTTTTATTTAAATATTATAAGAAATACTAATTGAAGTATGATAGTCTTGATTGCAATCATTACCGGACCCCATCCCTATCCTCTGCGCACTTGTATGAATATAAATAACTCTTTGGTGTCTTATTTATCATATTTTATTTTTCAAATAAAACTTCCCTCTCGGAAGTTTGCCGACCCTTGCATTAGGACTATGAAAAATCTAAGAAAAAATCCTTCTAAGATCTCTGGTAAAAAAATTTAATCACGAAATGTGTTTGCTTTATCCGCTCTAATATTTTAAGGTATACGAACCAGAAGAAAATCACCCATCTAGGACCATGAAAATCTCAACTGTAAAGTTTCTTTTTTTCAATTACTACTATTAGCTCACTCTCTCCCTATATATATGCATAATAAAATGCAAGCTCAAGTCCATAAACATTCAAGTTCAAATACATTTTTTTAAACTTGTGGTGGATAACACTTGATGTCAATACAGTTTTTTTTTTCAAATATTAATTCATTAATCAAATTAAAAAATGAATAAATCGTAACAAACAAAAATAATAGTCTAACAACATATATAGAAATTAAAATCGTTCGTTGTGTCCCTGTAGCGCAATGGACAGCGCTTTGGACTTCTAATCCAAAGGTCGTGGGTTCGAATCCCACCTGGGACGGCCCAATTTCTGAGAATGTGATCTCTTTTTTACTGTACTGTTTTATTGGAATAATTAAATTTAATTAATGAATAAATAGTGACTAAGAAGCAAAAATACTCCATCACCATATAAAGAAAGGAAAATGGAAAATTGCGAGGAAAATCGCTTTCTATTTTGTCACTGATTATTGTGATTCTGTCGTATGTATATATTTCAATTAATGGTAACTATTTAATAAAAAGTAACTAAAATAAAATTTTTCTCTTTTGACCTAAGTAGGAATTCACTTAATTTCCTTATATTAATTGTTTTTTAATTCAGCTAATTAAACTAATTTTATATGTAATGAAATTGGAAATAGTCAGTTTTGTTCACAAAATCCTATCTGATATTTTCAAAAGATTTTTTTTTAAAAAATTTTGTGAATACTGTAAATTTCCGTGTATTAGCCAAGAATTTTTGGAGCTTTTTTAAAGTGAAAGTAAGGAGGGGGGCTTACATGTGAATCCCCTCATCTCCGAAAAAACGCAGTTTAAACTTGTTTTTTAACGACATTAATCTTTTAGCTTTTTGGGTGTTTTAAATGAAACTTTTAATTCTAAAAGAAGAAAAAAAAATTCATACATTCTTCAAAGTCAATGTTAGACTCCAAGTTTCTGAACAGTTCGCACAATTCACATTTACTTATTGAAATGCTTGAATGCATATATACAGTCGAACCTCTATTTTTTAACGAAGGCGAAGTTGCTAAATCCCCCTCCCCCCTAAATTGTGTTATGTGGAAAGTTCGTTAAATAGAAATTCTTGGTTTTCAAAAGGTTCAATACAGAAACAATCAAAGACATATTGGTTCGCGCGTAGTTAAAATAGTTTTTTTATTCTAACATAAATCGACTAAAGTGTAAGAAAGTTACGTGGCCAGTAAAGAAACATATTGAAGTATTTGTTATTTATTTGGTAGAGGGTAATTACAGATAATATATCCACACACTATAACGAGGTTTTGACTCTGTAGCTATTAATGCGTGGGAAAATTTTCAACTACTGAAGAAAGACTCTCATGATGCATTGCAGGGAGTTGACCACTTGTTGCCATATTAACAACAAAACAGTGTGTTTTTTTATTTTCAAATATTTTTGCAGGTAAGTTTTCAAACATTTTAACCTACTAGTACACATGTGACTTAAACATTAAAGTTAAGCATATATAATCTACACTAAAATAATTGTAGTTTGATAATAATGTTTTGTCCTTCAGTTTAAGGGTTCATTTTTCAAGATGGAGTGTCAGGTATTATGGAATACCTAGTATTCCATAATACCAGGTATTCGCAGAGAAAGATTATATTTGTGGATTTTGTAAATAGACTCGAATCAGAAATGACTTTCATGTATTCTTAAAAATATGACCTTTATATTTAAAAATTATTATGTTTTATGAAGTTTTAAATAGTTTTCCAATGGTTAAAGCCACCTATTCTATATTACCTGACACTATTCCATAATGCCTTCAATTTATCATTTTTCTTTAAAATAAATTTTTAAAACAAAAAAATAAACATTATTTTATTGATATGTGATAATTCCTTATAATCGTCTATAGCAGTGGTCTTCAAACTTTTTCAACTCATGGAACCCCTAAAACTTGAAGGTGCTTTCGTGGAACCCCAAGAACTAGAAAGTGTTTTCGTGGAACCCCATTCCATACACATACTTCGAAGAATATATCTCAAAATAATATTTAAAGTAAATCAACATGTTATAGGCACTTTATGTAATGGCAATTAAAAAATTATAAACTAATTTTTTAAGTATAATTTACTTATTAATAATATTAATTTATGATCCAAGTGTCACCTATCCAGATATTATATTTAGTAACTGGGATATGTGCTTGTTTTTTTTCACATAAATTGTCGAAGTCTAGGTCTATTGAGGTTAAATGCAATCGCATTACTTATTCTGAGTTTAATTTGTTTTTAAACTTTGTTTCTGTAGTCACTCACCTTGACAAATGAATTTCATTTAAATACAATGTTCTTCCTGAATGAAATTTCAATGTTTATAGCTGAGTGAGAAATCCCATGTATTTTTTATATGAATTTGCAACCTAAAATTTAGAAGCTGTTCTTGTTAAATTTAGATTTTAACATCGAATCTGTTGATATGTTGTTTTCTCTCCTTTCCAATTGGTGTTTTTTCTACAAATGCAAAAAGGTGAATTTTCGTTAGAAAACTATTTAGTTTTACAAGACGTACTAACTAACGAGTATAAAATTATCTCGTAGAACCCGAGATAATAAACAAGAGAATATTCACACAATCTAGTAGGAAGTATATATATAAAGATAAAGTATTTAGTATTCTTTTATTATATTATAATAAAAGTTAAAGTCTTGCATGATAAAGTTATTATATATAAATAAAATTCCCAGTTTTTTAATGAATAGGGGACGAGCTTTAGGTACTTGTAAGTATACAAACTTCATGGAGAACGAAAATCCATTTCGCATACAGATTTATAAATTTCCTATTTTTTTACTGTGACTCGTGAAACCCCTGAGTATGCCTAGTGGAACCCCAGGATTCCGTTAAATACAGTTTGAAGACCACTGGTTTACAGTATATATCCCATGATGATTTTTATAATAAACCAGTAAAGAATTATTTTTAGAAAAGTAAATAATATTCCATAATACTCGTCTCTAATCTATTTAATAATATTAATTGTAGCTTTTTTAAGAGTTCTGTGAATGAATCGGACCGCTTACGATGTCCGTCTTATTATTTTCCTTAAGAAGCCTTTCATGCCTTTCTGAAAGCTGTGTGAGGTCTGGTCATCTAGATCATTTCAGTCATGGTGTTGCAATTTTAATTCTCAACAGTGGGTACTCACGCACAGTACGGTTTCATTTTGTTTATAGTTAAAATGAGCTCTAACCCATTTTCTTTCCAAAATAACACAATAATATTACCATTTTTTAAAATATATATTTCTTTTAATCTTATTCCAGTATTTCCTGATTTTTTTGTTGTATAATTCAGAAATCGTACAACGAATATACTATACGTATAAAAATAGATTGCTTGTATTAGTTATACACAATAATTTAAAATTATGTATTAAATATTCTTTAAAAAATGCTATAAAATTAATTTTTTGATCAATTTTCCTGTTGATTAACCCATTTGCTGCCATGATCCCCGGGGCCGTGCTATCTTAGTGGTCAAGGTAACGGACACGTGGTCGTTGTTTCATGAGTTTGAGCCGAGTACCGCTGAATATCCGTCGTGCACAGAGGGCTGATGCACTTTAAATATGTCGGGGCTCAAACGTCCTCCTGTTGGTGTAATATGGAAGTCAGGAGAGGAGGTGCCAGCTCAGGTGTCGTCCTTGTCACTTGACCATGGTTCAAAATCTCGAGGTCCGTCACTAAAAGCCCTCGAGTAGTTGCATAGTGCTACAGAAAAATTCCCTCATTAGGCACGATCCCCGTTTGGGGATTTTGGAATTTTATGTATACATCTCCTTCGTTATAATATATAAATATATAAAAAAAATTTTAAAAAATCAAATATTTTTTAAAAAAAACAACATTATTTGAACACAATTGTGCCATTACACGACTTTTTGGGCATATTTAATTTATCCGGCCATAAATTTTAAAACAATTAGCAGTTAATGGGTTAATAATAGCAAAAGAATTTGAATTGGATTTATGAGAAATCATTTCTGTTTGTGTATTTTATTTCATCTGTTTTCTTTTTCAACTCCGCTTTTTGGAATGATAATATGCAAAAGTATCATCACCGGTGGGAAAGCAAATAAATAAATAAATAACAAATTAAAGAAATATTTTTTAGTTCGTTCAAAAGTAACGTTTTAATGTTTTTGAAAACAATCCCGTAATAGAAAAGCATAAAAGGCGGTGTTAAAAAATAAACTGAAATATATATTTTAAGCAAAAATTATCAAACTCTCATACTTGTATTCTTCTGGAACACATATCTTCAACAATATTAGAATGTGATCATAAAAAAAGATAACTACAAAAAAATAAAAAGCACTGCCTGAAAAAATTACATTCCTAATTCTTTGCCTACCCTAATCTACGTTGAAAGAATGTGAGTTATTTGGGTCACACAAAATATGCACCAACACTATACTGGAGAATGAGCCAAACCTCCATTAAATATGTAATTAACATTTTCAAGTTTTTCGAACTCCATAAATAAGTAATTTTTTTATTATAAAAGAAAAATAGTAACACACAGACACATACACAAGAAATTCATTAGATAATCAAACGCTTCGATGTTTCGTTTGATAGATGTAGTTTTGTTTTCGTATATTTAATCCTTAAAAATAGAGCCACTTCAAAATATAGGTGATTTCAAATAATGATGAAATAAACAAGCACGGCAGTAGAAATACCTTTTGAGGAAGATATATCTTCCAATAAAGATGACACACAGAGATACATTTCCCTTATATCATTTAATCAGATAAAATTGTCATGAAAAATTGTTACAAAGCTAAAATTAATTATAGCACTATGAAAACCGATTACTGTGTAAAATAGTTCCGATTCTGAAGCTAAATTTTTCACAATAAGCAGTAATAATAATCAAATAAACACTATGTTTGCTCTTAAGTAGTGTGAATCTACTGTTAAAAAGTAGAATATATATAGAAGTTTGATGTGATGTGTATTATTCACATGAATCTTTTGAATGGTCTCAACGTAGAATATATTCTTGAAGAGAGATTAATAAAATGTAGCACGATGTGTAATCCAGGATTTCATAAATTTCATTACTACATTACAATTCATACACTAGAAATGTAAATCAAAAATTCCGGAAATATTGATAATATGCAATATATTTTTACTTGAGAATTCTTATTTTAAAGAGAAAGCCTTAAAGTCAAATATATAATAAATATTTATCCTTGTGTAACTGCTATAATATATTTCAATGGTCTTTAAATCAATACCGCAATATATGCACGAGTA